CTTCTCTATCCTCTCCCCCTCTCCCGTTTATCTCCGTAGCAGCAGCAGCTATCGCGGTTTAAAAGGAAAAAAAAATGGAAACCTATCCTAGTAATACTATACATAAAGTACTATATATATAAATACACACACACGATAATAATAATTATTATTTATGCGTTTGTAAATAGTAGAGAGGGCCCAGTAGAGAGCGTCCGGCCAGTGTATGTATTGTATGTAGAGTAGGTACGATATTATTATTATAATATTTGAGATCATAATTCATACTAACGACGACGATGATTATTATTATTATTATTATTATTATATGATTATTATTATTATTATTATTATTATTGTTATTGCAATGTTTATATAATATTATCGATTCACGTCGACTCGGTCGATCATGACGAGGTATGGATCGTTGATCGAGACGGGTTACGGGCGGGGCGGGTCGATCAGCGGGGGTGGCTCGGGCCCCCTTCGTACGCAAGTATTATTTATTTATTAGCTCGACCGTTCTTCGCGACCGTGTTCGCGGATCGGTCGATGACGGTCAAAGGTATCTTTCCTTTCGATTTTCTGCCCCCCCGTTTCATGTTTTCCACCGGGCCCCGTCGCGGACGCTCCTCGGCACCGCCCGTAACCCGCCAGAACCTGGAATTCCCGTTGCGCCCTGCTGTCGCGGGCTCCCGGGGCCCCCCATGGGACACGAAACGCAAGGCTCACGGAGACGCGACACTTCTACAGACGTACTATGTAATAAAGGAAAACGGGCCGGGGGCGACGGCGACGCTCGCTGGGGGCGCAACGACCGTCAACATATCATGTCATGTCGAGAGTGAACGATCGCCATCACCTTTTAGTCATTCGTGTCCAAATTTCACGCGAGCTCGCCGATATGCCACATTGGCAGATGGCTTGCAGACTGTGTCCTTTCGCAATAAACGAATCATTATAAAAAAAAAAAAAAAACGAACGTTGGAGGTTTTGTTATTTCGCACCGCGCCCCTTTGTCCTACCATTGCGATCGGCGCTGATCGATCACCCATGAGATCAGTGGGAAAAGGAGATCGGAACACTGGGAGCTGTCTTGAAGACAGTTCGTGGGGACTCTTTGTTCCATTGTTCGACGCTGTTGGAAACAGGTAAGAGCTCTCGGTGACAGCCGTTTGACGCGGCGCGTTATGCGCCCGGCGATTTTAATAAGTAGTCCTGGGGCGGGGACGCGAGGGGTTGAATTCTCTGGGGAGAATTAGGATTTGGGATTTTTGCCGTTACAGTTGTTCAATTTTCTTTGGATCGTTGTTCCGGTGTTTCTAACGCGAAGTTCTATTAAGTTTATGTATCTAGGAACAGAAATTTTTATTTAATCGATGGTTCATAGGAATCGTGTACGCGACATTTAAAAAAAAATTGAATTCATCATATTGTACATAGTTAAATTTGTCTTACCTTTAGCTACACTAACTACGGAATTCCTTTTTAGAAAGAACTACGGTGATCTTGAAATATCAGGAAATACGGTCTGTTGAAAAAAAGAAACTTGAAAAGAGACCTTGCCAAAGCAAATAGTTTCCTTTTATCGTACATTTTCTCCTATCATTAAAATCAACAGAAATCTTCCAGTGAAGAACATTAGATGTCTCACCCTATGTAATTCATATAAGTAAGTTCAAAAATTTGAAGCGAATCGAAAGAAATTCTTGAGTGGTTACTTCATTATGGAATTCTGACAGCGATTCTTTAATCAATATTTCGCATCGTCGACTATAATAGCAGTTTTATATTTTCAATAATCGCTGATTAAACGAAAATAAGGAAATATTTCAAAACTGTTAGGAAAACGACGTTCAAAGCGCTAATCCTGCTCAGCTACGGCGCACAGCTCGCACGATTCCGCATCGATGAACTCGCAGGGAGCATAGCAGCGAATCGGGTTCCTCGAAGAAGCGCACGATCGAACAGATTCCCCGTTTGCTCGATTAACGAGCGGGATCATGCACACAGCCGGTGGAGGGCCGCGAGTCATTATGCCGTTGTCGGCCTAATCGCGGCGCATGCATCCCGATCGTAGCGGAGAGACAATACGGTCCTCTCGATGAGAGGATGCCGGGGGACAGCCCGGCGAGTCGAGCCGGCGTCGGCGGCGGTTGCGGATGAATATGAAACGTCCTCGTTCTCGGAACCGGCCGCAAGATGTACTTATAAAAATGCAAAGCGACCGACTTCTGGGTGGTTGCGGGACAAGCTTGGTTATTAGTAAACATTTAAATCGACAATCGCTATAGGTATACGGACAGCGGGGGAATGCCGCGCAGGACAGCCTTCCCTTCTTTGCCTCGGTCCTGCAACGGTCTCCGGGACCTCTGTCACTGTCCCACGGCTTCGCGTGGTAGGGTCCGTCCCTCGCAGTCCCTCGCTGTCCCACTCGAGGGCCCCGAGGAGGAACCGAGGAGGAACGGAGGCGAAACGACACACAGGCCAGATCGGCCGTGGTGGAGGAAACAAGAAATCAAGCCGCGGGACCACCCGCCACGGCCTTGGGGGCACCGAGCCGCGGATCCCAAGGAGGTCCATCCCGTCTTCATGAATCAACTCGTTCCTGAATCGGCATAAACCTTCAAAGGGTTGTGGGGGTCCAGACCCCCTCCCCTCCTCCTCGACCCATCTCGATAGATTCCGCAGAGTTATGCGGACACCGGTGCCCCGGTCCGGGGACCCCCTCGCCGCGTTCTTGCAACCGTGCCTTCCGTGCCTGCCATATCGCTGCTCCAAAAACGGGACTCCTCTGTCCACGGGAAGTCGGACCATGATATTTCAATTTTCTCTTTCTGCCACTGGCTGCTCCGTGGCCCCTGTACTTCACGGTAATCCGGATAGATTGCCTCGGAGTTGGACATTATTCGAATAACATTTCGAACAGATTTTTACTCGAATGATCTTTGAATTGAAGCTGCGAATAAACGAAGTTTCTCGAAAATAGCGAATAAACGTATAAGTCCCCCCCAAATTATCGGTGTTTATTTAATTAATGTGTTACGATCTTGCGACGTAATACATACATTGTAACGTTGTCAATGAGACTCGGTCTAACAACATCCGATATCACCTTTTGTTCATCTCTTAACTCCTTCGAATAATGAAGAAAAATTGTATTCGGATAAATCTCTTCGGATAATGTTACAGATTTATTCGTAAATAATAAATAATTATTCTACGGATAAATTCGTTATTCGTTACTTACGAATCTATCTGGAGGATGTATACATTATTTGCCACCCGTTATACGTTGTTCGTATAAAATTTACCCAACTCTGTTTAGAGCATTGTCTTCCGACCGTTTCTTTCGGATCTATCTCCATGTTTTGGGAAATTTTAAACTTGTTAGGTGCTTCGCTCAAAGAATTTGTACTTTTCGTTCGTTTTTCTTCAAAAAATGATAATTGCATGATATGTTCTATTTAAATCTCGATACCTAGACGTCTTCCTGATAGGTTGTCCTGCCATGTATTTCAAATAGGCAGCAGTGTGTTACGCGTTTATATTAAGAATGGGTAGGTGAAATACGAAACAATGCAAATTGAACAATTTCAATTCTAACCCTGACATATAACCATGACATAACTTTGACGTAACTACACCATAATTAACGTGTGATTTATATTGTGGAATATAGTTAACACTCATATTGACATGAATAACTATAATAGAAAACTATGACGAGTCGTATGGATTAATAGATTTAAAGAAGATGAAGACGTTCTTGGTGTTATCGTCCTTACGATTCGTTCCATGAAAAATGTATTAACATAGACAGCTTTTATTTTGCATGAAGTTGTCTAATTGAGCCGTTTATTTTGAAAGTGACATAAGTCACTTTGTTTTGAAGTCGATATGTTTAAGGGTTTGCGTTTTTTAACACGTTTAAGAATATGGATGCTAACTTTCGAGAAGATTTACTTGTATTTGTTATCTCATACTGATATTTTTCTCAGTATAAATAATTTCTTATAAACATTAAAAAACCACCACTTTTCATTACGGTAAAGTGACTTATGCCACTTTCAAAATAAACGGCTCAATTATAAAATATAAAATGTGTGTCGGATATCAATGAAACGACTTGGGAATTTTAGTTATATTTTTATGCCATATAGAGCGTATACCAGAAACAGCTGTTTTCTTGAAATTTACTCGGCAGCAAGCTGTAATAAATATTCTACGAGCCATAGAAATTGCAACCGTGTAAAACTATCAACGTTTTTACCAGATCGTTTCAACCGATAGGAGGTAATAGCTTTTACAGCTTGAGAACGGCGTCGAGTGGTCAGTGCAGCAGCGGAGGAGTGAATAATGGTATTAGCGATCCCGGTTGTGGAATCATGTCGATTCAACGGTGCACGAAAGTTTCTGTCCCGGCTCACAATTGAATCGTCTATTTACGGACGCTGAATACCCATTCTACACGCTGCAATTCTACTTTTTGTCTCTTTGGATCGAGCACGGGTACGTACAAGCTCCTTCTTGGAACCTGGACTTTCTAAAACGGCTGTTTCTAGCGATGTTTCTGGGTCAGAGATGTTTTGTTTCTTCTTTGCCGGACGGATAGAATCGCCGTCAACCGTAAGCGACCCTCAATCAACGTTTCAGCGAAGCTCGACCTTGATACAGATTAGGGGATGCATTTAGTTCGGGAAAAGTAAATTTAGGAGGCCGCGCTAATGGCAGCCGCTGTGTAACCAGATTACTGCAGTCTGTCTCTTAATCCGAGATATCCTGACAGTCTCGGTGACTATTTCGATTTCAATTTACCGTATAGTACAGTAATTTCTCCCTAATTCGCGCTCAGATCGCGCACAAAAAGAGCATGAGGAGATACAATCATTCGAGCCCTGCGTCTCGTTTTAGCAGTTGCTGATAATCGGTTGTTATAAAAACGACCCGTAAAACTCGAATAATTGTATCTCCTCTTGCTAAATTATCTATTTTCGTGTGCAATTTGAGTGCGAATTAGGGAAAAATTACTGTAATCGTCTAACTTGTGTATCATACGTCATTCGATAGTTTCGAATTCCTCTTTTTGTGCGATCGTTTACATACTCGTCCCGTGTGAGCGATGAAGTGATTAATTCTTTGAAACCTTTTGGTGCGTCGAGTTAACAATAATGAACATTTCCGATATATAAGCCGTTTATTTTGAAAGTGGCATAAGTCACTTTGTTTTTAAGTCGATATATTTAAGGATTTGCGTTTTAACACGTTTCAAAATATGGATGCATTCATACCTGACAGGTTATCACTAAAATCTCTATCAGA